AAAATGAATACAAAATGTAAGGGAGAGTCAAGATTTTTCTGTGAATTCCAAAATGTGCTTTTTAAAGCTGCTGGCAGAGAAAGCACTTCTTTGAAGACCCTGAGGTATAGTTTGAACGTGTACTATCACCCAGGAAGTAGGGAGGAAGGCAGGGCGACCTCAGAGCCCTTTTCCTACAAGGCAGACACTTTCTGGGCTGGAGGGGGCGGTATAGAGGGCCAAGGGAAAGTGTGAGGTCACCTGGGAGTGACCAGCGGCCTGATGGATGGGGGTCCAGAGAAGAGGGATGGTGCCCACCACCCATCTCAAGGATGGCGGGAGAGGGTCTTGCTGAGTCTTGGGGCTTGAGCATGGCCCCACAGTCAGATGGCAGTGGCAGCCGAGAGGGGCGGGCCCCAAAGGCTGGGACCTCTCTCCCCTCTACCCCCCTCCCCCGCCCTGCACACCTCCTGAGGCTCCAGAGTGGTTCTAGGAAAGTTGAAGATTCCCATGCCAGCTCCGCAGCACCCTCCTCTGAGGCCATCCTAGGAGGCTCAGGTTTACAGACAGCAGGCCTGAGTCACTCACAGGTGGCAGAATGCCCCAGGTGCTTGTGAAGTGGAGGCACAGTGCAGCCCAGGGCACAGGGGCTCCTCCAAGCATGGAGGGAGGGGCGTCCCAGAAGTCTTTGCCTCCCTTCCCAGGTGCTGAGCTGAAACATGAAAGCCTCTGGAAGCTGAGGTTAGCACCACGGAAAAGAGAGGGGGAATCACCTGGAACCACCCTGGGTGTTAATCCAGAAGAGACCCATGAGAGTTTAAGACTGTGAAATTCATGCCCACTACACTCAAAATTACAATGCATTGTGATCAGAGCTTTGAGGAGCGAGAACAGAATTTTCTGCAGAGGAAGGGGTGACTCACCCTACCCTGAAAGCCACAAAGACTCCATAAAAGAAGTAGCATTGTAGCTGGGTCTTGCACAATGAGGAGAAATTTCCTAAGTGTAATAAAAGGAGAAATAACATCCAGATAGACAGAATACCATGTACAAAGGCAAAAATTATGAAGGAACAGGGCATGTTAGTGGGGAGTTAGTTTGCGTGGCTGGAAGAGTGGACTCAGAGGATGGCCAGTTGCTAGGAACGAAGGAGTTGTAAGAACTCTGTCACTAACTCATAAAATTCAAACTACATATAATTTCCAAGAAGCTCTCCTTGTTCATATAGGGCAAACATAATGAAAACCCGTAGAGAGAGATACCGAACCCTAAGGTGCCTTACAATAGGGGAATACAACTCTAGGCACCTGAGTAAGGTCCCTGAGTGGTACAAACGGCTAATGCTCAGCTGCTAACCAAAAGGTTGGTGGTTTGAGTCTACCCAGAGCTGCCTTGGAAGAAGAGCCTGGTGAACTACTTCCAAAAAATCAGCCACTGAAGACCCTATGGAGCACAGTTCTACTCTGACACACAAGGGGTTGCCATGAGTCAGAATCTACTCCATGGCAACAGGTTAAGTACTTTCTTTGTTTAAATTTCTTTCTTCTGTTCCCACGAAACTTTTCACATCCTACCTTCAGGATCATTTTTCTAATTTCTCTCTTCCCTAGATGTTTATTAAACACATGAAAGTCCATTAAAAAAAATCACTTTAGACATAATTTTCTATCAATTATGTCCCATGCAAGCCACTGGAACAAAACCATAGAGTCCTTGTTCATAAACGTGCAAGCTGGCCTCTGCCTTAAAACTGTCCCTCTGCTGGTCTCTCTCACTAGAATGTTCTACCCTTTATATTGAAAAGGCTTTCTGCTCTATTTCCTCCGATTTCTACTCAAATGGCAGTTTCTCACAGGTCTTTCCTAATTACCGTATATAAAATTGCACTGCTCAATTACTTTCTATCTCTTATCCTACTTTTCTCTCCCTTATCCTACTTTTCTCTCCTTCGTAGTATTTACCACATGGCATATGATAGTTTTATTTCTTTTTTTAATGCTTTGTCTCCATAATAAAACATGTTGTTGGGTGCTGTCGAGTCATTTTTGACTGGTAGTGATCCCATGTGACAGAATAGAACTGCCCCATAGGGTTTCCTAGGCTGTAATTTTTATGGGAGCAGATTGCCAGGTCTTTCTCCCATGGAGCCACTAGGTAGATTCGAACTGCCAACCTTTCTATTAACAGCTGAGCACTTAACCATTATGCCACCAGGGCTCCTAT